GCCTACAGTATTTTTACAGTCTTTATTTTACAGTTAAAATATATGTTTATTAAATAAAGTCTAATGTTACAACTAATAGGGGATCCCTTTAAAAATGATGTAACTCTTTCCCTAAAAACATACATTTAGTTTATTGTATTTCAACGTGAATAAATCAAATTTGAAATAAATGAATTCTGTTTTTGTTTGCATTTTAAACAATGTACAAACTATTTTAGATTTGGGGCTGTTTTGTCATCATTATTTTACAAAGTACCAGAATACTTTGGTGAAAATAAAGAGTAATAATAATAATAATACATTTTATCTATAGTGTCCTTTTCATCTTGCCATCTTAAAGAGCTACAAATGGCTAAAAACAGAGCAAGCCATTACAATGGATTAAAAAAAAAGAAGAGAGATTAAAAGAACAATAAAAATCTAAGAAAGTGAACCAAAAATTTTGCGAGAAAAAACTGTCTTAATTGTTTTTTTAAAACAGTCAATGGATTGTGGCACCCAGAGGCCCTGTCCCATGGTCCTCAGTTTGGTTCTGGGTTATGGAGGTGTGTGGGTGGAGCAGAACAAAGGTGACTTACGTAAACTGGAGGAACTTTGTTGAGGAAAAAAACACTTGGAATAAGAACATCCATGTGGTCATTGGTACAAATGACCGTTTCATTCAGCTCTATTGGAAAAGAGAAGAATTTCACTTTGGGTTAGGTTTAAAAACTAAACGGTTTTAGAGGCAGATTTAACATTATTTTCTTCTTTCTGCACACTTTTCACTCAATAATTGATTTACTTCATGTTTTAAATAGACTTTTGTTGTTTTTAGAGCTGAAATAAATGATAAAATAAAATAAATATTTTTATACAGAAACAGGAACAGCTTTTGTCTACATTCACTAATCAGAACATCTGTAAATTTAACTTAATTTTATGTGACATTTACACAAAAAAATATTCTTACCAACCAAAACATAAAAGTCAGTAATAAAATACAAAGTAATAAATTTCTCAAAGATTTTATTATAACCTAAACTTCAGTTAACATAAAACAACATAAAAGGATTTAATGAAAATAGAATTCTGCAGACAGGAAACCAGATAAGAGTCAGAATGAATAAACAGGAGCATGTTGGATATTATACACCAGGTGTGTGTGTGTGTGTGTGTGTGTGTGTGTGTGTGTGTGTGTGTGTGTGTGTGTGTGTGTGTGTGTGCGTGTGCGTGCTCACCCTCCTCAGGCTCCAGATGAACTGCTGAGGTGATGCAGAACAGAAACCAGGATAAAACCACACGAACAGGCGCCATCTTCCAGTCCTCTCCTGCTGGTTCCTCCTGGATCAAACACTCTACTGCCTCTGGTCTTTTCCCTGAAACCTTGAATCTTCACTGTCACCAGAATGTTTACACCCCTCTGCTGCTCCGAACCATGAAACCCGGCCTCCCCTCGGCCTTAAAACGCCAGGTTGAATGATGCCCCCGACAACAATAAGATTCCACACATGAATAGAGGGGACTGAGAGGAATCCAAGGCAACGAGAACGAGCCTGCCGACATCGTCAATGTCCTCTTAGTAAACACCTTACAACCATTTTTTACCTCACTCAGATGTCTGCTGACCATATAAAGCAGAGCAGCAGAACAGGGCCGACGCGTTTTGTAGTCTACATCTTTTGTACAGATTTTTATTGGTGCAGGAATCCCAGTCAGCCGTAAGAAAAGAAACTCATTACAGGTCAAGGGCAATCCAGTGTGAGTGCAAAGGACCAGTTTGTTTGTGTGGTTGAAAAGCATAAACCACAGCCACTATGTGCACAGGCAAAACAAAAAAGCTTTGTTCTAACATTGCTCACAGTGTAAGAGCCAATAAAAACTAACATGAGATGACTGATTAACTAAGGCATGAATCTTCTTAACTTTTTCACATTTTAAGAGTTTTATTTATAAGATCACTTTCCGGGACACTGACTCTTTTTTGTCCTGTAACTGAGACAAACAAGCCTGTTTACAGGAAGCCTAGCTTCAATCTGTTACTCCTGCTTTACTTGTGACAGTAAAACCAATCAATCAAGTTTAGGTTATAAGTAAATAATGTTTTTATTTAAATAAAAACAAACTAGAAAAATGAGCATTTTCTGTGAAAAAAAAAAGTGTGAATGCTGAATAACTGCTGGAAAAACCGAAAAGATGAAGAATGGATAGAAAATGTATAGGGACAACAAAAAAAAAACAGTAACGAAAAAAGGAAGCAAAAAAGATACTTAAAGGGGCAATATTATGTGTTTCTCAGGCATATGCCTGAGAAACACATAATATTAACCCTTTAAGTATCTTTTTTACTTCCTATACTATAC